CTCATCTTTAGACAATCCAGGCTGCCAGCCCACGGATGATTCTTTTCTACCTCAGTTGAAATAATCCAGATAATCCCTCACAAGCATTCCCATAAATTTGTCTCTGTTGTGATTCTAAATCCTGTCAAGTTGACAATCATTATTGGATTAGAACACTCTAATTTCACAGGACATTATCTTAACTCGACTAAATCTGCAGGAGCCATTATTTCGAAATAAGGTTACTCACAGCTTTTGGGTGGACATTGATTATGAAGGAACACTATTCACCACAGTTCTACATATTCTATTGCCTCTCTAAACTGCTAGAATGTTAGCACCATAACATTAGGGTTTATTGTTTATTTGGGGGTTTTGTTGAGATTATAGTATGATTATAACATTAATTGTTATCATATGCATGTGTATACATGCATACATGTATGTTGATTCTATATATATTTTCAGGGCTGACGATTTGTCTCTAGCCAATTCATTGGTGTGCTCTTCCCTGGGGAAGGTCACCTCTTCCACTCCCAGCTTTCCTCAGTTGCCTATACTTCTTTGTGTATGGTCGAGGACTTGTGGGTTTTCCCCCATCCACTTTGGCATGTCCATTGATGCTGTTCTTTTCATCTCCCGTTTGGGCAGTCATGTTGATGAGACTTTACGGTGTAGCTTCTGACATTACTAGAAGATTGTTGTCTGTTTTATTTATTGTTCTATCTTCAGTGTTCAGAGGAATGTTTGCTACATAGTAGACATAGTATTTTGTGAATGAACCTTAGGACTTATCTATCTCCAACTCCAGAGGGAATCTGAATGCAGGTAAGGATGAACATGCAGGCATTGCCTGGAATATGGACAATGCTTTACAAGTGTTTGCTGGATGAATAGAAATATTCACTAGATATATGACTTTAACATTTACAGAGTGCCTCTTTTGTACAAGGCACTGGGAGGATATGTAAAGAGGTGAGAAGGAAACTGTTCAATAGGTATTCTGGTTATCCCTCTGAGTGATTCATTCAGTCTTCATTTTATTTTCCTTTTTATTGAATGGAGAGAATAACAGAACCTACCATATAACATTGTCATGAGGATTGAGTTAGATCATATGGTTAAGTTGTTTGGCATAGTACCCAGAACATAGGAAGCATCATAGCAGTAATAACTGCTATTATTATAGCTGGTATTGTTATGTGCTAATTTTGTGCAACACTTTTCTTTTAAAAAATGCACATGTGATGAAACTGCCTCCCCCCCACACACACTTTTTTTTTTTTTAAAGACAGACTTTCTCTCTGTAGCCCTGGCTGTTTTGGAACTTGTTCTATAGATCAGGCTAGCTTTGAAGCTGGAGATCTGCCTGCCTCTGCCTCCCAAGAGCTGGGATTAAAGGTGGAAACTGGACCCTTTAAAAAGTGCCATTTAATGACTTTTAGTATACAAGCAATGTTGGACTATCATTACCAAAGTCTAATTTTAAAGATCTTTTTTATCCCTTCCAATAAAATTCCATACACATTACTAGACACTTTCTTTCTAATTAATTAATTAATTTTTAATTTTATTTTACATTCCAACCACAGTTCTCCCTCTCACCCCTCCTCCTACCCCCCCACCTCCCTGCCCCCAGTACACCTCCCATCCACTCTTCCCAACGGGTAAGAGCTCCTATGTGGAGTCAACAAAGACTGGTGCATTAAGTTGGAACAGGATCAAGCCCCTCGCCCCTGCATTCAGGCTGAGCATGGCATCCCACCATAGGGAATGGGTTCCAGTAAGCTAACTTTATGCACCAGGGATAAATCCTGGTCCTAAGTAGACACTTTCTACTTTCTCACCTAGCCAGCCCCTACTACTACTCTAATTTTCTTATCTATAAAGTTGTCTATTTTGGAACTTCATATAAAAGGAATCATACAATATTTGTCTTTTGTGATTGGCTTATTTCTCTTAGTATAATGTTTTTACAGTTCACCCAGTATATATACGTGTGTGTATGTAAATATGTTTTGTTTTCAATACATCTGACTCTAGTTTCTCCTCTCTTCACTCCTTCCAGTCCCCTTCCCATCCCTCCCAGTTCCCACCCACCTCCCTTCTCATCCACATTTTTTTTGTATCAATACTTCATTATTTCTGTTGTTTTGAAACAGAATTTCACCATGTAGCCTAGGCTAGCTTGGAATTCACAATCCTTCTGCCTCCCCATCCTGGGATTACAGGCATGCAACGCCACACTAGAAATTTCATTTTTTTTTTAGTGGTCAAAGAACATTCTGTTTTTTATCTTAGATTTATTTATTTTATGCATGGGTGTTTTGCCCACAAGTATGTGACATGTAACATGTATGTGCCTGGTGCCCACAGAAGGGGTTGAATTCCCTGGAACTGGAATTATGGATGACTGTGAGCTGCCTTGTTCTGCTGGGAATTAAGCTCAGGTCCTTTGCGAGAACAAGTGCTCTTAACTACTGAGCCATCTCTCCAGTCCATAGTTCAATTTTTTATTATACTACATTTTGTTTATCCATTCATCAAGTGATTTGTTTGGATGTTTATACTTTGGGGTTGTTATTATTTATAAGGCAACAATGAATACTCCACGGGATCTTTATAGTTGTACATTATCATTCCTCTTGGACAGATACCCAGAAGTAGAACTATTGGCTCTATTTTTTTTTCACCTTTTAAGGAATAGCCAGACTGCTTACAAAGCTGTGACTCCATTTTACATTCCTGCTCGCAGTGAATGATGGTTCCAATTTCTCCATGTCCGTGGTAACCTTTTTTTTTTTATTGTAAATACCTTTGATTTAGTCATCATAGAGGATATGGTATTTTATTGTGTATGTTTAAGAAACTGATGTTTAGGGACTAAGAGGTTAAAAGTACTTGCTGCTCTTCTAGAGTACCCAAGTTCATTTCCCAGCACCCACATCAGCACCCACCACTCATAGCTATCTGTAACTCCAGCTCCAGGAGATCTGATGGTCTCAAGCGCACCTGTACATACATAGCATACACTTACACACACACAATAATAATAATAAACCTTTGAAAAGAAATTTCCATTAACTTTATTTCACTTTCTGTTCAACAGCCTGTGGAAGAATAGCTTAGGAACATTCACTCTATCTGTTCCTATACAGGCAATCCTGAGAAGTGGAAGCTTAAGCCCAGCATTCAGTGGCCACGTGAGCACACTAGAGAACTGCTGCATAGGCTCAGAAAACATTTGCCATGCCTTCAAACCATTCCGGATCCAAGCTCGTGTCAGAAAGCTGGCTCTTCTGTTGTCACTGAGCTTCCTCTTTAGTCCAGCCTTTCAGCACCTTTCAGTCTGCCATTCCTGTTCAGTCTCAACACAGAACATTTATCACTGGGAAAATCAGGAATGGCTTCAGAAAAGTGGCATTTGACTTAGAATTTTCTTCTTCTTCTTCTTCTTCTTCTTCTTCTTCTTCTTCTTCTTCTTCTTCTTCTTCTCCTTCTCCTTCTCCTTCTCCTTCTCCTTCTCCTCTTCCTCCCCCTCCCCCTCTTCCTCCTCCACCTCCTCCTCCTCTTCCTCCTCCTCCTTCCCTTTCTCCTCCTCCTCCTTCTTTTTCTTCTTCCTTCTTCCCTTTCTTTTTCTCTACTCCTCTTCTCCTCTTTCTCCTTCTCCTTCTTCAAGTGTATGGGTGTTTTGCTAGCACTTATGTAGAGTACATGGTGCATGGAGGCCAAAAGGGGTGTCAGATTCCCCTGAAACTGGAGTTACAGATGGTTTGAGCTGCCACTTGGGTGCTAGAAATTGAATTCAGGCCCTCTGAAAGAGCAGCCAGTGGGCTTAACATCTGAACCATCTCTCTAGCCCCCAAAGTTTCTATTGTTATATTTTTGAGATAGCATCTCATACTGTAGCTCAGGATGGTATGGAACTCATTATTGAGCCCAGGTTGACCCTGAACTCTTGGCAATTCTTCTGCCTCAACCTTACAAGTGAAGGCATTATAGACCCATGGTGAATATTTTATTTGTCTTGATGGACAGATAAAACTTCATTGGCTGGCAATAATGGAATGAATGAAAATACCATTTCTATGGGGAATAGAAAATGATGGTTGAAGAAAGATGCTTTGAAATCAAGTCAGACTCTGATGGGGAGTCCAGCGACTGTTTGGAATGGATGATATTGAGGTTGCCTTGGTCAGAAGTGACTGGCTAACATGGGGAATCCTAGGGTTGGGAATATGAGCATTGATCTGGATGGAGAATTTAGAGGCTGACTGGAGGTAAACACCTATGAAGTTCCATGTGTGGCGATGGTGGTGGTGATGGTGGTGGCGGTGGTGGCGGTGGGAGTAGGAGTAGAATTCCAGGGGCTGCCTGGGATAGGGAACTACAGACTGGGTGGGCTGTAAGATCACAGAGCTAGAGAAATACAGAAGGACAGGGATGGAGGAATGGTCTATAGACAAGTTGGAATGAAAAAATCAAGAGATTGTCATGGGGCTGGAAGGATAGGGAATGGGATATTATTTGGGGTTGGCAGACTAGAAGTATAGAAGTCTGAGTTGGCCAAGTCTTGAGACTGCCTGGGATGGGTGCTCTGATGGTTTGGATCTTGGGCCTGACCAGCGCACATTAGAATAGGTTGGAGGGCTTCGTTAGACTGTTAGGTGAAGCCCCCAGGACGGCCCAAATGGAGATATCTCCTACAGACTGAGCTAAGGCTGGCCACCAGCTGAGGTGCCAGTGTCTTGGGACTGGTCCAGCTCGGGTGCTGGTGGCTACTGCAGGTGGGGCGCGCGGGGGCGGGTCGGAAGAGATGGGTGGGGGCAGGGGCGGGGGGCGGGCCGGGCAGCCGGGGCGGTCCCGCGCGGCCGCGCTGCGCAGTGACTCCGCAGCGGGCGGAGCGCCGTGGGCCGCGTCCTTCCTAGCCCTGGTGGTGGTGGTGGCGGTGACGGCGGCGGCGGCAGCAGCCTCAGCTCCTGCGCCCCGTGCCGCCGGCCCCAGCGCTGTCTCCCGGGCCCCCTAGGGCCCCCGGGCCGCCGAGCCCGGTGCGCGCCCTCGCGTCCCGCCGGCCCCCTCCCCCGGCTGGGCCCGGGGGAGGGTGGCGCCGTGAGCGAGCGGGGACTGGGCTCTCTTGCCCATTCCCCTGTCCCTGGGCCGCCAGGATGGAGGCGGGGTCCGGTCCCCCGGGTGGCCCGGGATCTGAGAGCCCCAACCGGGCGGTGGAGTACCTGCTGGAGCTGAACAATATCATCGAGAGTCAGCAGCAGCTGTTGGAGACCCAGCGGCGGCGAATCGAAGAGCTGGAGGGCCAGTTGGACCAGCTCACCCAGGAGAACCGCGACCTGCGGGAGGAGAGCCAGCTGCACCGCGGGGAACTGCACCGGGACCCCCTTGGCGCGCGGGATAGCCCTGGCCGCGAGAGCCAGTACCAGAACCTGCGCGAGACCCAGTTCCACCACCGCGAGCTGCGGGAGAGCCAGTTCCACCAGGCGTCCCGGGACGTGGGCTACCCGAACCGGGATGGCGCCTACCAGAACCGGGAAGCTATCTATCGGGACAAGGAACGAGAAGCCTCCTATCAGCTCCAGGACACTACCGGCTACACAGCCCGCGAGCGCGACGTGGCCCAGTGCCACCTGCACCACGAGAACCCAGCCCTGGGTCGCGAGCGTGGCGGGAGGGAGGCTGGGCCAGCGCACCCGGGCCGCGAGAAGGAAGCCGGCTATTCCTCTGCGGTGGGCGTGGGGCAGCGGCCACCGCGGGAGCGGGGCCAGTTGAGCCGTGGCGCATCCAGAAGCTCCAGCCCTGGCGCGGCCGGAGGTCACAGCACCAGTACCAGCACCAGCCCGGCTACAACCCTCCAGAGAAAGTAAGAAATGTGTTTGCAACCCTCACCCCACCCTTCCCTTTCCCTCTAGATTCCTCTCCAACTTATCTGGCGGATAAAGTATATGAAGCCCATGCCTGATTCCATTTCCTGCTTCTCCTGTCCCAATCGGGAGAAGCCAGGTCCTCCTCAACCAACTAACAATGCTTTCGGTAGCCACTGCACACTGGTTTGAGCAGATGAGCGCAGGCTGCTGCTTTTTTTTTTTTTTTTTCCTCCAGAACCAAGACAGTTAGAGACTAAAGCAATCCCCACTACCTCCCTCCACTTCTTCAATCCCCGGCTATATCCTTTCTGGAGGATGGATTAGATATATTTTTTTTAGACAGAGGTGGTATCAACTCAAAGCCCCAAAGGAGAGAAACACTCCTACACACCTTTTTGGGATTTTTTTTTTGGGGGGGAGGGGGTGTCTAGTCTTGTCTAGAGGCAGATGGGGACCAGAATGGATTCTGATGGCTGAGATATCCCTCTGAGGGGAACTGCAGCACATCTTGGCACGGAGCGGGGGGAGTGATGGTGGCAAAGATGGGGGAGCAAATATGGAAGCTAGGCCCTTGGTTAGTTTCTCAAAGTCCAGCTGGTCTCCACCCTTCAAGAAAAACAACACCCATTTAAAGAGCCCTACCAGGAAGGGAAGTCCGTAGCTCTCCCATCTGTTGGATCAGCTTCAGTTCTGGTGCTGGGGTCTGTACGTATGTCCGAGACAGGATAGGACTATTTTCTGAGTTGATGGGACATGGGCAGGGTCCACTTTTCCCATAGAGATCCCATTGTGTGCTGGTTGGGAGAAAATGTATTAGGCTGTGAGTCAAGGGCATGAAGACTCACAGGGATGCCCTAAGGGCTCTCCTCTTGCTTTGCTGCTACAGTGGAAAGAACACTGAACTGGGAGATAGAAGAACTGGGTTTCCCTTCCAGCTCTGTTGCAGATTGGCTTTGTGACCTTGACTGAGTCCGTTCTTCTATCAGTCCATCATTTCCCCTATGTTTCTTTTAAATGCAAGGTGTGCCAACTGAGATTCAATGGGTGTCTTACTAACCTAGCCACACCAAAGAGCAAGTCTGAAGTCCTTTAGCAAATGGCCAGGCTTCCCCCTCCTCTCACTGCTCAGCTGGTCCTACCATGTGCCACAACTAGTGGAGTGTCTCTTGGAGGCTGGGCTGGGGGTGGGGAAGCCTTCTGCCTCAGGAAATCTGCCGGGAGACAGCTCTCTGCAACTCCCCCATGGTGAGGCAGCAGGCTGGGGTGCTGGGTTGAGATGGCTGGGCCCCAGGAGCAGCAGCTGCAGCTTGAGGGCTTGGCTGGGCTCCACTGCAGTGCACCCTTAGCTGAGTGTTGGGGTGGAGGGACAGCCCCAGAATGGGGGCAGAGAAAGACTGGATGGGGCATTGTGGTCCTTGAACCTGGTTGCAGACTTCTCTAGAGAGGTCAGGCCTGTGATGGAGGGAGCAGCCCCATTATATATGACTTCAGGAAGCAGATCCAGGAACAGTGGGAACATTTGAGATAAAAATCAAGAGAACTTTTCAACCTAGCCAGTTGTGATGCAGTAGATTGCTTCAAGGGATGGGGGTAGTAGCTGGCCCGACACGTCCAGTCGAGGCCCAAAGTGGGTCCGAGAGAGCTGGAAGAAGCATGTAGTTCCTGACTCTGGCATTAAGCCCAGTGAAAAGACCGGAATCTTCCTCAATTTCAGAATTCCGTTGCTTTCAGATTCTCCATCCTGCAGACATAGGTCTGAATTTATTGGCTGGCTGGAAGCCCATTTGCCCTTCTGCCACCCTTGCAGGCCTGCTTCGGACGCCTTCCTTCTTTTTTGTGCACTTTCCAGGTCGCTTGTTGGAATCCCTTGCGTCACATTTCCTACTGGGCTAATAAAGAGGTTTAAATGGCACTTTGAATGTCTCTCAACTACGTATTAACTGCTTGCCTATCTGTGATTACTTCATTTGGGCTTCGCAGCAGAGCATCAGCAACTCCATTTTAGAGAAGGAGAAACTGAGGCTTCAAGTCGAAGGGGCTTTATTCAAGGTTAAGCTACTAGTTGCTAATGGAGCTGGGACTAGAATCGAAAACTGCCTATCTTAAAGGCACCTTACTTGTTCCCTAGCGCTTAACCCCTAGGAGTCTTGGCCTCAGGACCTGGTGGGGTACTGAACTCAGAAAAACCGAGAAAGCCCTAGGTATCTTCAGGTTTTGAACTAGAAGAGATGGGTCTGGGGTGAGTGGAGGAGTCGATGGGGGAGAATAGACGGCTACCTTCCTCTTTCCCATCTTCCTTCTCACCGGGTGTCAGGAGAACCTGTAGCCATTGCAGTAACCAGTACTGCTGCAAGCGACTCCCCTGCTAGGCCTGTTCTGGGTTTGTAAGGAGTGGGTGAGAAGGCTGCTGTTGGAAGCGCGGGCAGGCAGGGTGGGAGTTCAGCAGCTGGGGCTGCAGCATTGGGGGAGGACAGGCAGAGCTGCTACAGGCTGGGCTCTGCTGGGCCCCAGGCTCCCCCTGGTGGCAAATTGGGGAGAAATGGGGGCCTGGGTCAAGCGCTTGGTGGGAGCTCAGTCTGCCTAAGACTCAGTTCTCCCAACCACCCTGTGCGCCTGTCACTACCATCATGTCACAGCATAAGAAGCTGGGGGCTCAGAGAAGTAAAGTGGTCGTATCGGAGGTCGCACTGATAACATAATGTACACAGCGTATTCCTGTGAACTTTGCCTTCTTTGCTTTGGGTATCCTCCATCCACATCCGTAGCATATACCCAGAACTCCTATGTCCTTTCATACTGCTCTCCTGGACAGGTTCCAGGATGCCAAAATCTATTCTGGCGTGCTCTGGGTGTGGTCTTCCTAGTGTGACAGAAAGCAACATGAATCCCTACCTCCTTCTGGTCACTGGCACATGAGGATTTAGTTGTTTGCTTACTAGTTGTTGATCCTGACTGATGGTTATCTTTTTACATGGAACTGTCACCTCCTGCCATGATTTTAAAAGAGATCTTTTTTGTTACTAAGCTTGGTTTGACACCCCCCCCCCCGCTAGTTCTGACACCTAGAATGAATGATTTCTAGAGGCTTGGAGCCACTGCTGAGTAACCCATGCTGAAGAGAGCTGTGTTCCTACATTGTCTGCATGGGCCTAGCTCCACCTCTGCTGTATGCAGTGGTGGGCTGAAGCCAATATGGTGGTAACTGTCTATCCTCAGCCCCCACCCACCCTGCAGACTGGCTCACATTTGGATACTGAACCTAGAGAGGCCAGCCTGCTGTTCTTGACACCCAGGGCGATGCGTGGTCTATCACATCACTGCTGAACTATCGTCGGCTGCAGGTGGTGAGGTGTCAGCATGCTGTCTACAGGAGCTGAGGCCAGAGAGAGAGAGAAAGACACACACAGAGAGAGAGAGAGAGAGAGAGAGAGAGAGAGAGCGCGAGCAAGTGAGCGTGAGCGCAGGGAGAGGCTCGGGGGAAGCCTGGCTCCTTTGGCATGCTGGATTCTTTTTCTAGGGTGTCTCTCCGTCCTTTCAGGAGGGAAACTGCTTACTGCCCCTCCACTGTGTTGTGAGCATTATGCTGGTGTGGGAGAAAATGATAATGTTGAATTTCATGAGAATTAGGAGTCTTGCTTCTCTGTCTGGATCTGGGGCAAGAATGGGGTTGTTGTCATCCACAAATATTTCTTGGCTGTATTCAGAGAGCAGGAGGGGCCACCAGGCTGAGCAAACACCATGCTCTTGGCACTTGCAGAACTCTCTTCCCACCAGCCATGAAGACAGGGTTGCGGGCTTAGTCAGGCCGCAGACACAGTACTGAGGAGGACAGAGTAAACAGAAGGGGTGGGGTTTCTCAGAGGATAGAAGGATCAAGACAGACAAGGCTGCTGCTTGAGGATCTGGGCAGTAGAGGAAGGTGCTTTGAAGAACCAGCTGGGCATAGTCCCTTGGTGTCTAGTTGAGATGTGTGCCAGAAGGAAGACCTCAGACTTGGTGTCTGCTGACTGGTCTTCCTCTGCCCACCCCCACCAACTATGGCCTCTGCATTTGCTGGGGGCCTGGTAAAGCCTGGAGCATGGTATTGATTGAGTGAATCTCAGCTTCCTGTGTAATAGGCACTATTCTATGCAGCTTTATGTAATAATAGCTAATATTTTCCTACTGCATTTACTGTGTGCTGGGCACTTCATTCTAAGTGCTTCCTATATAGTCGTTCTTTCTGTTTTCACACGAATCCTTTCATGTAAATTGTTATTAACTCCATTTTACAGGGGAAGAAACTAAGGTCTAGGAAGTTCAGGTGACATAGCCAAGGTCCCTAAGTGGCTAAGGGACAGGACTGCAGAAGAACTAGACGGAACCCAAGCGGCTGGGCTCCAGGGTCTGTAGCATTCTTGGCATTCTTACTCATCTGGCAGCCCTGTTTCTTATCTCATTTCCCCAGAATCCTTGCCAGGTGGGTGTTATTGTTCTCCTCATCTTTCAGATGAGGAAGTGGGGATCGGAGAGGAGCAGCGAGTTACACAGCCGGCTGAGACCTAGAGCTGTGTGGCTTCCAGTCCTTCAGTGTGCTGTTCCCTTCCGTTGGTGGGGGTTAGACATGAACTTTAGGTGTGACTCTGGTTTTCCTCCCACAGAGGTTCCCTCTCACAATCACCCCTGATTTTTTCCATGGTGTCCTGAGAGATTACTCCTCTTTTTCTGTCAAGCCTCTGATAAATCAGCTGGAGCCAAGCCATGTCTGCAGTCTGGCTCCTATGTTTTCGTTGTCTTTCTGTTTCTGTCCACAGATTCCCCTTCTCTCATTTTTATAAATCTCTTTTCTACAGACCATGCTTGAGTTACCCTGGCCTTGTATTGTCTCATTAGCCCACCCAGGCCTTCCTTCTGATGGCCTCTGTGGCTTGGCTAATATCCTTCCCTTCTCCTCGGTTGCTTACTATTATGTCTAAGTTGAATTAGCTGACACCTCTCCTATCTTTATTTAAAAACA